AAAGAGAAATCTGCTGAAAGAGGCTTTACTGGTGCAAACCCTTTGAGCCATCACCACTGAAGAAAGAGTTGGTACCTCACACTTTCACCCCTGTATTATATAAATCCTTTTCTTACCTACAACCAAGAGGAAACAGCTGCAAATAAATGGCCTTCCAGCTGTGGTCACTTCATCCTTAAGTGCTCCCAGTGTAGCAAGCCAGCCCTGTTGGATTACAAAGGAGTACTGCTCACTGCTCCTTCATGAGTCTCACACTACTCGACAGCAGCTTCCAGGCTCCCTGCAGCCCACCTGCTCCCCACAGCCCCAGCCGCACCTCGTAAACTTATCCCAGGCCCCCGGGTGAGCCCTGAACCCCTGTAATTGCTGCTTCAGGGCAATCAGGTGAGGCCTCTGTGCTTTGTCCCACCTCACTTGCATAAAGACTCCCATCATCCAGCTTCAAAGAGAAAAGCCAAGAGTGGCAAGTCAGAATTTTTGTCTATTTTGCTTGTTCTCAACAGTTTAAAATCCCTGCAAGATTTATTTTGGTAGCTGATGAACCCCTGCACCTTCTGCAGTTATGTACATAGAGGTTTCAGGCTCAGTGATTCACCAGAAAAACTTTTATTGCCAATGTTATCATAGGCTATTTTGGAAATCAGAACAATTGCACTGGTCACAGCACACTTTTTTGTACTGGTCACAGCATACTTTTTTGTTATCTTTGTGAAAATATTCCTAATATACAAAGCAATAAAATGCTCAGCCGGTGATCAAAGCTTCAAAGATGGAGATTATGCTGTCACTCAGTATGCCAGCCTGTGAAACCACCCTTTCTTAAATGAGATTTATGTAAATAAGATTGCCAGTTCCTTGGGTTCTCCAACAGAGGAATGGAATAGTATTTAGAAGGAAAATCTAGATAATGGCAGGATTTAGATTTAACATTTAAGATAGAGTTATGCTGAACTGGATAGTATCTCAGCATTTTATTTGGATGTGATTTCTTTCTCCAATTAATGCTCCTGAAGTAACTACCAAAGTGCTCCCCAGAGTCTCCTTTCAGGTTCCTGTACTGGGTTTTTCAAGCAATCCCTAATGAAGCCTCAGCCGGCAGTCACCTCCCCTTCCCCCAGCACGCTGGAGGGGTGATTTACCATGGGAGCGGTGCTGGTGGCCATGATGGGACCTGTGAAGTTTCACGTTGGTGAGCCATCAGGCTCAAAGAGTCAGTGGTTCAAAGTCCAGCTATATTAATGGCTGGAGGAATGGGATGATGGAAACCCAATAAAGTCCTGCACCAGGAACAGAACAACTCCATGCTGGGTGGCTGCCCCACTAGATGGAAGGCACCTTGGAAGAAAAGGACCCAGGAATCCAGGTAGACAAGAGATGAAGTGTCCTTGCAACAGAGAAGGCTCCTCCACGTACCAGGCTCTACTGGAAAGCGTGTAGCCAGCAGGTCAATAGAAGTGATTGTTGGCGCTCCTCTATTCAGCTTGTACATCAGTTCCACATCTGGAGTCGTGCCTTCTTTGGGCTCCTCAGTACGAGACAGAGAGTGAGGGGACATGAAGACGGTGAGAGGACGGAGCACATGATGCGTGAGAAACAACGAGAGTGCAGCATTTGTTCAGCCTGGAGAAGAGAAGGTTAAAGGTGGGGGGAACCTAACCACTACTGTCAGCTATCTCATGGGTGGTTATAGAACAGACAGACAGACTCTCTTCAAACATGTACAACAAAAGGAAGAGAGGCAACAAGCATAAGCTGTAGCAATGGAAATTCTGACCAAATTAAAAAGAAAAAGAGGCTGTGAGGGTGTCAGTGAAGGTCAAGTATTGGAATGAATGACCAGAAAGGCTGCAGAATCTCTGTTCTTGGAGATACTCACCTGGCAAGGCCTGAGCAACTAGATCTGATTTGTAAGTCAAGGGTGCTTTCAGCAAGGGGTAAGACTAACTGCGCTCTAGAGGTCCTTCCGCCCAAACGGTTCTATTCGTCTTGAACTTGAGCTTCAGGAGCAGAAGCGCTGTTTATTATACTTACCCATTTTCTTTGTTTCCTCTAGCAATTATTCTTTATTTGAAAGTCAAAGCACTATCTCCTGAACTATTAAAACAAAAAAAGTCAGAAGCATACAGATTTCTAGGCATGCAGACAAAGGGTCAAACCTCCTTTAAGATTTGCTCTAAAACATTAACCTCAAACCAAGTACGTGCTGTCTCAAGAGCTGTGCGTGTGCTTTTTCCCTTTCCACAAAGTTGCCCTGGAAATCAGAGAGCCCGCTTACTAAGCCAAGTCAACTGACAATTACTTTGAAAGCTTGTATATGTGGCTCTATCAGATCAAAAAAGGAATAAATCTAAAATCCTGTCATACCCTACAGTACTGCTCTTTTGTTACACAAACAGGAAAGTCCTGGGGGAAAAAAAAAAGTCATTCTAAAAAATAGCACATTCCTAAAAGCACCTGGACATTGGTTCAAAAAACTCCTGAGTCTTTATGCACATTATACACTTCCATTATCCACAGCCTGACATGAAAATACTTAAGGTAACCAGAATCACAATGCATATATCTTTTAAATTTGAACGTAGATCAGCAGTTATCTATGAAGAAAACAGCAATTTTGCTGCCAAAACCAAAAATTCTGCTGCTTCTCTCCCCTCTGTCCCATTGTCAGACCAGTATAACTCAAAACACTTCTACTTATTAATTCAGGCCAATGAAAAAGATGTGCATAAGCTGTTTTAATGACATTTTATTAAAGTAATTTTTCAGGTTTCACCCTCCCCCTCCACATATGTGCAAATTTCTTCTGGCAGCAAGCCACAGACCAATTTTGAGGTGGAAAACAGTTGTAGGAAAAAAAGAGAAAGTCAGAAATTACTTTATAAATGGACACATCTTATAATACATTAAAATGCTCCCTTTAGTAGCCAAATGGTTCATGAACATTACACTTTATGTAATATCACAAATGCACAAAATATGCTTTGCATATGATTGCAAAAACAGCAGCACTCTGGAGCCAAGCACGTGGCTTAATATTACAATAATGAGTCTACTTCAATGTAGTGGATTTTAATAACACTGTAATAATACTGGTATGAAGCCAAATTACATAATGTCCCAAAATATGAAACAAAGCTTTTATAGAGAAAATAAAAGCTCACTGAAGTATAACCACATTTAAAAAAAAAAAAAACAAAACAAAACACAAAACCAACCACCAATGTTATCTGAACAAAGCCATTAGGCATATTTAATTTTAAAAAATCAAATTAGAGAAAAGGAACTCAAATCTATTCCCAGATCTCAAGATAAAATTAAAAAGGATATCATTTTAGGCAACATTTATGAAAATGAAGGTACTACGCCAGCACTGGGAAACAAGCTAACACCATAATTACCTCTTTTGGCACAGATATGGATATGGGTTGACTGTCTCCAATTTCTCTCCAAGGACAAAAAATGATTCAGTTACCTTACAGGTTGATTTTAAAAGACTGAGCTATGTTGGATTGTCTAGAAGCAGCTTAGACCAATAAAATAATTTCCTTCTACACATGAAAACCTACTCCAAGTAAGAGTCCCAAAGGTAAAGTGCCAAATTATTTACTCCCTCAACCCCCTCCAATTCTGGAGTCTTGGGGAAAACAAGGACTTGAAAGCACCTGCAAAGCCCGGTGCAACACGGACCATTCTCACAACAACTGTCTCTCTCACCCCTCCCCGTATTTGACAGCATTAGACAGCAATTAAAAGAAAAATCAGTACTTTGTGTGTTGGATAACACATGCAGAATATCACACATTCTTAAAGATGTATAACCTTTTAAATATTAGTGTTATGCTAGTTGGAAGATGAGTATTTGCATGGATAACGTTGTTTGTCCTTTATTAGCATCAACTATTTAGATCCACATATCCAATAGAGAGATCAACATATATCAGTGTATTCCAATGTGCTACTGGTTACAATAAGTACTACTGTTAGTGTCTAAATCAATGCTGACAGCCTATCAGAGCATGTGGTGATGAATACAGCAAGAATCAGAACAGTTTTCTTTACATACATTACATTGTCTCATCTACATGTCTCTAGACTTCTTAAGCAGTTTTGATAAAGGCATTAAAAATTTCTAAGTAGATTTAGATTCCACATGACAAAATGAAGTGAGGGGTACATTTTATATCTTGGATTTCTTGGAATTCTACTTTAGCTACAGAAGCCATTAAAAAGTTGCAAGTAACTTCAAGATGAAAGGCATTAGCAGCTTTTTAGAAAAGGATAATCACACTCTTCTAGAGACTTAATGAGACTTAATTCACAGAAGGTTTTGACTAGGTCTGCTGTTAATTGAATCAAAGTCGATGATGATCTTGTTACACTTTGGCTTGAATTCTCTAAAATAAAGAAAAATACAGATATTTGTTGGTGAGTAGTTAAAACATTTTGCTTGCTTTAGCTCCAGCTAAATTTCTGAAGGAACAAAAAAAAAACCCTCCTTGGATTCCCATAGTTTTCATCTCTATGGGAGCCAATTATAGTGCACCACACTGAGAGAAACCTGGACAAGAAAGACTAAGACAAAAAAGACACATGGGGTGGGTTAGCCTGTACATGCCTCGGCTATTGGAGTTCATAAATTACCCAGGAGTCAAAGGACTTCTAACAACTTAGCTGCAGGTGGTGGCATCATGTTACCAGGGCTGGGATTTTTGTATTTATATTTCAAATATTTTTAATATACATTTATGGATATAGGTACACACATATGTATCCATAAAAATATTTTAATATACTGTCTATGTATTATATATACACATGTATGTATATACAAAAGATATTTGGAATATAGCTTGATAAATATTTTGAGCACTTTTTTTCCTGCCAAGTTTTCAAAGAACATTTTCAAACTTTGCGTCAGTATATTAAAATATTTTTTGTGCTAAGGGAATAGATCACATTATGCATCATACCCAGGAAAAACCAAACTAGTTAAGAGGGAATCATTTAAAAATTGTAACTTTAGAACTGTAAAATTAATACTGCCACAAAATGTTTCCTTTTATTATCATTAGAGCATCTGCTACAGCAATTAGCAAGGAAGGTATTTGGGGACCAAGCATATATTTTCCAGTCTACCAGTAAACAAAGGATTATGCAAATAGTGTGGATTTAGTGCCTAATTAAGCTCTGCAGTTCAGTTCAAGAGATTCATGAAGTACCACCTACATCCTTAACAATCAATACAAGAATGAATAACAGTCAACACAGAAAAGCACACGCTGCTGACCACAGAAACTCTGCATACTTTGGCCAGAATAGCAATCTGAAATGCAAGAAACACTTCTCACCCTGGCGAAGTTACAAGATTTGACTTGCAAGAGAATGATTTATGCTTCTTAGTCAAATAGTCTTAGTAGACAGGAAATACACTGAAGGACTGTAACTGAATTTCAAGTACTGCTGTGTTTTTTCATGGATGTTTCTTAGCTCAGTAGGTACCTTTCATCCTAGAATTTTATCTGTCAGAATTGTTATGTTTGCAAATTTTTCGAAGTCTTTGTATTAATATTGTAAAACTTTTTAGAGTTGCAAAGCCTCCCTGACTACATAATTAGCCTCACCCACAGCATGTTATTGCTATCAAACTAGCTGTTGAACAGATTGTCTTTAGGTATCTCTGTCAGTGATAAAAACCCCACTCTTCAAACATTTTTCAGATGCTCATTACTTTAAGGCTAATATTCCAAGTTTTATCTTTTTTTCACGAGAAAAGCTGACCAAAGAAGATTGGACAGCTATACACACCAAGAATTAATTATGGGTGGCTGTTTGATACCTTCCCAAATTGACTGCAATGAAAAGATACTAAAGTTTCAATAAGAATCAGGTAATCCACAAAAAAAATCAACTGGTCGTTTCAGGCCAACTCATATGATCATAGGATAAACTCAGGCTGTAAAGGACTTTGGGAGATCACCTTGTCTAACCAACCTCCTGCTCAATGCAGGGTCAGCGATGACTCTCCCAAGTACAATGTAACAAATAACCATCACATTCGCAATTTCACTTGCAGTCCAGGAATGAAATGAGTGTTCCAAATGGACCGTTTTCTCATACAAACGTTATGAAATTGAAATTTAACCATACAAGGCAAAAAGAATAGTGCAACAGTCTGTCAATCTAGTATTGTTTGCAGGCATACAGAGCAAGCCATCTACAAACACTATCAAAGAATAAAATGCTGCACAATGCAAAGAAGAAAAACTTTTGCCCTAAAGTTGGTCTCTTTCACACACCATTTTCTTCCTTTCCAAAATAAAAATAAAGTTCATCCAAAGTTCTCTTACCTGTATATAATACCTGCTAAATCAAACATCCGCCTTGCAGCTGTCATTTCCGTAGTGTCATGATACTTGTCAGACATAAAAATAACTTCCTTTATGCCTAAAAACAGTCATATAGAAAAAATGTTAAAATTACACTGAAGAAAAAAAAGTAATGTCTGGTGCACAAAATCAGAACAGACAGCATTCATCCACATGCTGTGGAACTCCTTGGTACACCTCTAGTTCCCAAAATACTATAGATTGTACTTAAGAATAAGGCTATGTAAGGTAGAGCTGTTTTGGAAGACAGTTTGTTCAAAAATGTTGGAAAATGTTTTTCTCCACTTTCACCTAAGTTTAACTCAGAAAACCAGAACCAAAAACTCGTAGGCAAAACCACAAGATAGACAGACTAGAAATTAAGCATTTTCACAAAAGTAATTGAAACTTATCTTTCTACCTCTCTAATATAGATAAAATTCCCCATAAAGAACTTCAACTCCAAATACTATTCCCCTTCCAAATGCATAGCTATAAAAGGATGCTTTTTTCCTTTTGTTCTCTGATTTATAAATAACTCCCAATGCCAGGTTCAAACCCTCATAAACGCATGCTGTCTCAAATTGTTGAATGATCTATGCCTAAATTACTTAGGCAGGGGAGAAGTGTAAAGGCTAACCCAAGAGAATTCACAAGCGTTTCAGAGCCTATCAACATCTTACTGTATTTACCAGACAACATGAATATCAATACATTGCAATTTAGTGCTGACCTAAGTGCATAAGGAAAAGGATGACTGACTACATCGAGAACAAGCAGCCAATCTACCTTGAAGACCATTTGATTTTGATTTTGAAAATAAGAGAAATGTAGCACAAAGACGGAATACCATCGTCTTCCCCCCTTCACCTCTCTTCATTTCAAACCAAAATAAAGAAGCATTCTGTTTGCTACTTTCTTCTGGGATTCCTGTGGCCATTAGTGGTGAGAGAAACTCCTCAGAACAGCAAGCCATGCTAGGATTGCAAGACTTTACTCAATGAGCAAAACATATGCCACTTTAAGCAGAATTTTTACAGAACTGAAGCCTACTGCAGATACTGCCTAATCTGAAAAAAGGAGACACATTTAGGCCAGCACACTTGCTGCAGTGGCACAGATTTATAACAATTGTAATGAAAGACATAATTAAAGTAGGATCATAGAAGTCTTATGACATTTATGAGCAAAGATATTTTAAAATCTTCAAATATCTACCATGTATCACATTCAAATTAAAATTTCATGTATATACTCCCAACAGACCTTTTGCCATGCAGAAGTTTATTTCTTTCTGCCCTACTCTATTCAATGTGTCAGAGCACAGTAAAATTGACAGTAATTATATGCAAAGCCTGTGTTGTTCTTTGGCAGCTCCTGGTCTAAGAAGTTACAAACCTAAATTAGAAGCACGCTTAGAATCACAGAAGATGCAATTAGCACTGGAAAAATTTGGCACCATTCAGATGCAAAAAAACCCCACAAGTAGCATCTTATGAAGTTGACAGTGCAATTAATTTAGATCTAACAGCAGCAATTTAACATCAAATACATCCGTGATAAGATACCAACAAGCAGGCAGCACTGCAATGCTGACAAATCAAGCTGGCACTACTCCTTACCTGCCTGGATGATGAGCTTTGCACATTCATTACATGGAAATAAGGCAACATACATGCTGCAGCCTTTCACATCAGCTGAGTTTTTGTTCATGATGGCATTCAATTCGGCATGGCACACTGATTTTAAAAAAAAAAAAAAAAGAAACAATTCATAATCCCCTTCATTAAAATAAATCAGTCAAACTAAAATTAAAGTGTTACAATATAACTGCTTACATCCTTTCAAAGGTAAATAGCTTGCACAGCTTGTCATAAAGGGCAGAGGAAGAAATAAAAGCAGAAATACCAAGATCAATGAAGGTCAATTGTTCTGACCAGGCTGCCGATTAGTAATGATATCATTAAGCACATTAGCATTGCCATTTGCTAACACCTATTGCAGGCAACAAAGCCGTAGGCTGTGGGCCAAGTAGTTGCAACCACCCTAAGTGAAGCAATATCTCACAGCTTCACAACTCTCTGGAGTATCTAATTGCCAGTATAAAACAGCTCATTTATGTGTTTACATGCACAGATAGGAACAGTCTTACGGTTATAAGAGCGCGCTGTGCGCTCTTAAAGGCAGAAGAATCGCGAAGTAAAACCGAGCAGCTCTGTCCTCTGGGTCTCAGAACGGCTCAGTGCTGCTGCATGATTCTCTCACCCCAAGAATACACAAGACACACTCAACCATAAAAATGTCCCAGCTTTAATATTAAAGTGAGTTTACTGCTCATTAAAAGGTGCCAGACTTCCCAAGCAGGAAAACAAAGTCCTCTATTTCTCCATGGATTTGAGACAGGCCAGGTAGCAACAGACTACTCTGCCTTATTCCACCGTAACACAATAGCTCTTTCTGGACAGATCGCACCTTAGGGTTTAAGTTTTTATGCTGTACCCATCAGCAGATTATCTAATGTGTTACCAACACAGGTGAGAAGAACACCGTTTCTGTGTCATCCACCATGAACCTCTGGAAAAAACATTAGGATCTCTGCAAGAACTTCCTGTTTACTCCTAGGAATGACAGCAAGTTCCATAATTTATATACCTACCTACTAAGAAACTGCCTGCTGCCCTGACTTACTTCATAAACAAGTGCTGAAGTGTGGTGTGGGTTTGAGCTCATCTAGAGATCTGCATATGCAGACAACATTAAGAGTTTTTCCACTGTTTGTTTTGAAGAACGGATTTTTTTTTTAAAAAAATAGCTTTCCTCTCCCTTGCGTACATGAAAAAATTAAAACAGGCAAAGTTTCATAGCACAAGTTCATAGTATCCTTGCTACTATATACTGACCTCTGTGTGAATGATCTCACCACACAAAGAATAACTGAGTGCAGTACCTTCAACATATGGGAATCCTTGCTGAATGGAAATGTTTTCCGTATGCACTAAATGTCTACATGGAATTTTCTATATAACAGCTAATGCACTACAAATTTACAGCGTAACTCAGAGCACACAAGCTTTCCCACGTAGACAAGTCACAAAGGACCAAACACTTGCTAAAGAAAGCTCAGCATTGACTTCTACAAGCAGTCCCCAGCATCACCACGACCATGCTGTCTGCATACCATCTCATAACCAATAAAGCCCAAAACTAACACAAAAAATAGAAAATTTAAAAAAAAAAAACCAAAACCCAAGCACTATCATATTAAGGTTTATATTATTATTATTGTTTCTATTGCAATTGTAATTGGATCACACTGTATTTAAAACATATGTTATTGTGTACAAGATACACAATTATATGAACCTACACATTTAGAAAATCCAGAAAATACATTTAACTCCAAGTTTATTACTGAGTTGCACTAATCCTATGTAGCCTTCACAATAAATAGTCAGATAATTATTTTTCTGGGGTTACAGAGGATTGAGTGAAAGAGAGTGTCATTATTTCCGCAGCTGGAACTAGGTTACGTCAACAGGACAGAAACATCACTTTTAAATTTCTTTGAACAATATACTTATGTTCTAGGCAGCAGCCTAAAATATGGAAGGCCTCCAGAAAGAAGGATGAGGAAACGTTTTCAAAGGCTTGCAGAACTAAAAAAACCCCAACTAATTCCTTCAGTAAATATTTTTCCTTCACTAAAACTCAGAAATCTTCAGTCATAAAACCAGACAAGTTTCATTATTAGTACTGCAACAAGTTTCCTCCCTGTGCTGATGAGAAAGAAAGGCTCTTTCAGCAGACTTCTACAAACTTTCAACGACAAACCTCTTCCCGAGCAAAACAAAGTTCAGGCCAAATATAACTTATAGAAGATAATCAGCTGGAGTGAGGGAAAAGAGAAACTTTGCCTCCTGATCATCTTAACACGATCTGAAGTTAAGAACAATTACGATTCTCCAGTGTGGAAAGAAGACACAGAGAGCGCAATAAAGAAGAAACAGATTAATCATTCCAAGACAAAAAGTAGTGGGGTCTCCAACAAACCCAGCAGGCTTTTGATTCAAAAACAAAAGGAGGTACATTTTTCACGCGCACTGTAGCCTAACGAAGTATTTCTTTCTGCACTTACTGCAGAAAGTAGTACGGGACTAGAAATTTGCATTGAAAAAGTCATCTTTTTCCTTCCAATATTTCTTTTTTTTAGTCTACTGGGCTATTAAATACAAACCCATTTTGTCTCAGTTGTTGGAACTTGGAAGAATATTCTGGGGAACTATCATTACATGTGTCTTTGTTTTATACATTTCCCTAGACATCTGCTACTGGCCCCTGTAAGGCATATTATGCTAGATAGTCCTTAAGAAGGTATAGGCATCAGATAAATATTTTTAGGCTTTGTCCCATCACTCTTCATTCCCTCTTCCTCATATTCCCCTCTCTCTGGCAGATAGGCATTGACTGTTAACTGATTTATAGATAAGATAGGCTGTTATCCCCAGATTTTTCTTATAGACCTGCCCAGCTTTGTACAGAGCATTAGTGAGAGACAGAAAACAAATCCAGGAGTCCAAAATCCCTCCTGTTAATAACTAAGTGGTTCACATTTGGAGTGTTACAAAGTTTTCTTTACATATTATTCTCTCTCAGACAATGAGCTAACTTAAAATAACCTTTCACAGGTGCATAGTATTCAGAACTCTGAAAACTGTGTATTTAAAAAGACTAGTAAAACTAATAATTTTTACAATACCCTATGGAGGGCCCTGGTGTTTTGGTTTTTTGAAAAAATAATATTCATGTATAGCTAACATAATATTAAGTCTGCAACACTGGTTTCCATTCTGGAAAAGTGGCTTGAAAACTATTCTCGAAAGGCTTCATTAGCTGAAGAAATAACCATGCAATGCGAAGTTAGTGTGT